AAATTTCAACCCGATGTCGGACTTTCGCATGTTGTCGGACTTCTACCCGATCGCCAACTGACGTCGGATTTCTACCCGGCTACCAACTAAAGTCGAACTTTTGCCAAACCGCCAACTAATGCCTAACTTCTACTCGGCAACCAACTGACATCGGACTTCTGCTCAATTGTTAACTGATGCCAGTTTTTTTGCCCGACCACCAACACCGGACTTTTGTAATGCCTCCAATTGATGTTGGACCTTCATCGCACTCCAACAATGGTCTTTCTGGCCATTGTCGTTTGCCCACTACGATCCTTCCGACCTCTGTCGCCCGCTGACTACAGTCCGCTACAGTTCTTCCAACTTCCATTGCCAGACAATGGTCCTTCTGACCTCCATCACCCGCCGACTATGATCCTTCCTACCTCTATCACCAGACAATGGTCTTTTCAACCTCAATTGCCCATAGATTATGGTGCTTCCTACCAAACGAACAAGTCAACAATGATTGTAATAGTGGATTCATTCAAACCGAGCCATGCCCCATGATTTACCCCCTTTTCAGGATTTTTCACATAAAAATCTTGGTGTCTCTTATGAATATTACACCATCTCTTCCATCTGTGTGCGTGTTAGATCTTTGTACAACGCTAAAATGCTAAACTTTATATTTCTCTATCGCCGCAAATACTCCATGATGCAATAAATAAGAAAATATAAAAAAATGCAAAAAAAGAAAGGCTAGATCTCAGTTAACCCTAGAAAAATATCCATCAACCAAGAAAAAAGTTAGACGTCAATGCCTTCCAAAGTGACAATATGTATTTACTAAGTATCTGCTCAATGAAGTAATATCTATTCTTGCAAGCAAAATACAAATACCACTTGGTTGCACGAAACGTATGTGTTGCATTAGGGTTGTCATCATTGCCCCAATGCAAAAAAAATAAAAAAATGAGGTAATAACTCCAACACAAAAGTTTCACTTGAAAATAATCGATGAGACATGAAGGGCCATGAGATGGGGGAAGCCTCAACAATTGAGTGATGATCATATGCAATCTAATAGCAAAAAAGAAAGCGTCAACTGAATTTATCCCATTGCTCCACTCAAAAAACTACCACGCAATGAAGATTATACTCACATGAAAAACAGCAATTATATAATTAGTAGAATCCAACAATCACAAGCCAACAAATCTAAGAAAAAAGTAAAACCAACAACATAATACAACGAACAACATAATATGATGGTAAAAAAGCTAGGCAGATAGAAAAAACAATCGTCAAATAATGGCCAAAGTTCAAAAAAATAAATCCAACATGCAGACGCACCAAGGGGTGAATGAGATTACACATGGAAAAACACAAAACCTAGTAGTATAGGTTACCAAATTTAGTTGGTAAAGCAGATTGATTGCCCCATCTCTTGCTCTTCATTATAATAACAAATTTGATTTTCTCAATAATAACATCTTCATTAAGAACATCACCTCTAAAAATCAATTATTCCTTTCTTGTCAAATGTAGCAAACATTAACATCCACACTTAAAACAAATAGGTCAAGCATTTTCCTATAAAGGAGTAAGTGTGAGTAAAAGATTAAGTTCATAACCACATGGCTAGACAATAGTTGTCCATTTAAATGGGGTCAATTGTTCTCATTTGAACAAGTTACATATGAGGAGAGGTATATGTGATTGATTGCCTTTGCATATGCCCGAAAAATATGGCTAATTTTCTTTGTTTAAGTTGATTAGATTTAAGGAATGTGACTGGGTATCATAATTTATATCTTGAGGCTTAAATCTTCCTTTAAAAAAATGATATCAATTATCCTCATTTAGATGGCAAAGATACGAAGAAACTCTTCGATTCGTCCGATTAGTTTGAACCTACTAAAATTTTTTTCTTTTTTTTAAGAAAAAAACTTATTTTAACCAATGTGGTGAAGTGTTTTATTTTAATAGAAGGAACCTCTTTAATTTGCCTAAAATATGTTATTTGTAGGTAAAATGAGGGGTAAGATATGAGAGATGCTTATGATAATTGTTGAGTTGAATTGATTGATAATTTGAGTTCTTTTATGCTCTAAGAAGCTTTTTATTGCCATGAGCTATTCCTTTTTTGGTTAATGGTTTAAATTCTATCCAATTTAAAATGGAATTTTTAAAAAATATTAGTATGCTTGTGCTAAAAAAGGAAGAAAAAGTTCAGAGCTTGTTTAGCATCATTTTTTTTAATATTTAATTAGAATTTTATAAAAAAATTATTTTTAAATAAATCAAATTATTTTTTAAGCACCCAAAATAATTTTAATGCATTTTAATTAATTTTAATATATGAAATCTCAATCACATAATTCACGCATCATCTCGATTAACCTCGTGCCCCACCAACCAGTTTTGCACTGGTTGCCTGCCTACCTTACGTATATTGTTACTTACAGCTTCTCCCTCCAACTTTACTATCCTTCCTTTTGACCCGTCACCACCACATAAATTAACTTATACAATATTATTCAACAAAAATAAAATAAACATATATTTAACATATTAAATAATTTTTTATTTCATAACAAAATATAAATTAAATTAAATTAAATTTTAAAAAAAAAACATAAAGGATTCACAATCAACACCTTAATATTCGGATGTGAAATTATATTACTTTATTTAAAAATTGACCTTTGAATTCAATAGTGTAGCATTATTGATCTTGAAATAATTGGAAATATTCTGTTAGGAATAAAGGATCAGATATCCAGTACATAAGATACAGTCAATTGATGTAGAACTAAAGTGTTCAGACTGTAGCCTTTATATCAAGCGGATTGTAGCCTTATTTGATCCAGAATTTTTTCTTGTTACCGGGTCTTAAATGCCATGAATTATTCTGTGCGGACACTGGATAAGAGAATCGTCTGATTTATCTTTGTGAACAATAAAAGCGCAGCTCACTGTGCTTTTACAGTTGATGCTACACTTTTACTATTCACAGAGACAACTGAACGGTTCTTCCCGTCCAGTGTCTGCACAGAATAATCTCTCTTTAAATGCCACGACTAGTGGACGTATAAATTTTTTTATCTGGAATGAAAACAAATTTTAATTTAATGGTAATGTAAAATTTAGTTTGTCTTAGATTTGATTTGAGACAATTTTTGTATTCTTTTCTTAAACTATTTTTAGTACAAAAAATGTACTAAAATATTGCTTTAAAAAATAGTAAGAAAATGATCAAAAATTTTGCAAAATAAATCTTTGAATCTAAGAAGAGGATTCTATAAGCAAATATCCTAAGCATATAATTGAATAAAATTTTCATCTAATGTTTATAAGTGATTGATATGATTCTTTCGAATGAGATATAAATACAACTACCTAATTTTGAGAGAAATCATCTGAATATATCAATGTAAGATATCGATTTCTTATTTTAATAAGTTCCGACTTCCTCATTTTTTGTTCAAATTTGATATAATGGAGAATCTAATTATAATGACTAAATTATAATTGCTCATTAGGATTAAGAAATCATCATAATAATGCAAGAACAATTTCAAAAAGATAAGAAAATCTTGGCTAATATTTTATTTCTTTTTTTTTTTTGAACGGGGGTATCTAACCACTGTCACCTCCTTAGAGGAGGCGTTTGACAGCGTAACTAATCCCTCGGTGGGCCTAACAGCAACAACCCCACAGGTGTCGGACCACACGTATTTTCTCATCACTTAAGAAGTCGCGCCGCTTGAGAGTTAATAAGTTCCGACTTCCTCATTTTTTTTGTTCAAATTTGATATAATCGAGAATCTAATTATAATGACTAAATTATAATTGCTCATTAGGATTAAGAAATCATCATAATAATACAAGAACAATTTCAAAAAGATAAGAAAATCTTGGCTAATATTTTATTTCTTTTTTTTTTTTGAACGGGGGTATCTAACCACTGTCACCTCCTTAGAGGAGGCGTTTGACAGCGTAACTAATCCCTCGGTGGGCCTAACAGCAACAACCCCACAGGTGTCGGACCACACGTATTTTCTCATCACTTAAGAAGTCGCGCCGCTTGAGAGAGGAATCGAATGTGGGGTTACTATTTACAGCAACAAAAATAACATCAAATCTTTATCCCTTTACGTGGGGTCGGCTATATAGATCTTTTTTCTCCATTGTGTTCTGTTAAGAGACAGTCTCATGTAATTCTAATAAAAAAAATATCATTTCTAATATTTTCTAATTAAGCTTTTTTGATCTACCTCTATCTGTCTTAACATAGGTCAAATCTAATAACTCTACTCTGTTAATTGGTCATTGGAATACGACGAAATAGTAGTTTTCTTATAGAAGACATAAAATATTAGCCAAGACTTTCTTATCCTTCTAAAATTGTTCTTGTGTAATTATGATGATTTCCTAATGATGATGTAAATTAGGACTTTCAAGCAAGCATTTTGGGCCTTTAAGTAGAATTCATTCTATAAAATAAGCAAAATCCTTAATTAATGCTTATCCATATAAAAAGTAAGGATAAACCGCCAGCATGCTCTGCCATCCTTTTCCTTTACCAAACTAATATTGCATACAAAATTGTTGTTATTATCTCAATTCTCAAACCAGTCCCATTACCAGTCACTTCATCTTTGTCTTCTATCTTAATAATTTGGAAGATGAAATCCTCCTTATCACTACAGGAAGGCTGACGAGAAATTATTTTGTGTGAAAATTGGACGCAGTTCTATGTCTAGAGGTGAATCAAATGCAGTCACGTCAGCGGTACCGAGCAGTACCGAGCCACGGTACACAACGAAGGGGTGACGTGACGCATTCTGGTTGGCCTTCGGACGACGTTCGGCATCCGCACATACTAATAAATTGCTTCATTGAGTCTATTGTAGTATAGAAAAAAAATCATAGTTATTTTTGTAGGGATTGATGAGTTTCATAGTAATCCTATTGCTATTCTATATTATCTCAACAGTATTCCTTCACATAGCTACAGCAAAGAAAGAAAATAGTAAGGTGAAATACAGTTGCAATCTAAAAAATAACATTTATTTAGTACAATTGAGACACACAACAATCAAATTAACAATCTAAAACTCAATATAAGAAATTAACCTAAGAATACAAACTATCTACAACCCTACCAGTATTTCATTCTTTGAGTTCTATCAAAAGAATTTCTTTTGAAGATATTTTTCAAGCTTTCGTCCTATCTTTTCTGTAAACACCACCATGCAATAATCCTATGGAAACAAACTATACAAAATGTAGATTAATCAAACTATACTTATCTTTACCTTCTTCTTCTAATAAGCAGATTTATCTGAACTCATTGCCGGCTGAAGAATGGTTGGTTTAGCAAACTGTATTGTGATCCATCAAACTGACTGGAGAAGTTTGGGAAGTTCTGCTTCTTTAAAGGCTGCAGAGTTCCACTGCTTTCTTCTAAGTCGTTGTCAGATTGGCGTTTTACAGCGAAGGAAATCGGTGATTCTGCTTGTAAGAACTGTGGGTGTAAATAGCCATTGCCACTGCTTTCAGTGCTTTGATTTATGAGGGATTGATTTGAAATTGGGCGGCCAATGAGTGAATTGTTATCAAATTTTGGCAGTTCTTGTTGATTATTGAAATTGTTTGACAGAAGTGATGAATAGTCTTCAAGGAAATCTGATGTGAATGGAGTTTTTGGTAATTTGATTCCATGATGCTGATGCCCCAGCTGGCTTTGAGTGGTCTGAAAACAGGAATCTTCCGCATACAAGTCTTCTTGCTCTTGATCCACCATTGACGGTGAGAGGTGGTTTCTCTTTTTGTAGATACGACAAAGAACCCAATCGTCCAGCTTTAGTCACAACAAGAAAATATAATGATTAGTGAACCATACAAAGATTAAGGTTTCGTTTGGGACGACTTTTTTCCTACTTCTTAAAGCATCTTTTTAGAATAAAATTTTAATTTTTGTGCTAGAAAACTGTTTTAAAAAGCAGTAAGAAAGTCGTCCCAAACGAAGCCTAAGTGGCTAAATTTAACTGGATAATTTATTTTCATGCACCATTAAAAGAAAAGCTGCTACACTAGAGGAGGGCAAATTATCCCCTCTTAAGAGTACCAAAATGGTAATAGGATCATCCTTTCTCACAAGAAAGCCAAAGAGAAAACAAAGAAAAAAATAATAATAATCCTCTCCGTTTCAAATTCGATCACTCAAAGGAGAAATTGCAGTTGAACAAAATCTCAATTACCTGCATCTGGCTCACGTTTGCTACACCTAAATGCTCTTATTTGCTACATCTAAATAATCTTTGTTTGCTCGCTAAAAAACACAAGAACTCTGATGCCCCTTCAGTTGCTCAAATCACAACTCAAGCTTCGTTTGGGACGGCTTTCTTACTGTTTCTTAAAGCATCTTTTTAGTATAAAATTTTTTAATTTTTTACAAGAAAGTTGCTTTAAGAAGCAGTAAGCCGTCCCAAATGAAGCCTCAGTATGCTTGGTTTAGAAGCCACGACCAGCATACGAGCAGAAGGAAAAGAATTAACATTACTCGAGTTGTCCTCCAACAAATCCAAGTCCCTCGATTAAATAGAATGGTTGATAACTTATAAAATTTTTCATATACTACGTTTTTGTAATGGATCAAACAAAAATGATTAGCAACTGGATAAACGATAAGATTTATAATTAGTAAGCCAAATCTTTCTAACATATTCGCAACATATCTTTGTTGTGTTTAAGATAAAGTGTCTCTTTCTATTTTTTATTATCTCCATCCTGCAAATTTTCTTAGCAGCACCAACGTCTTTCATTTCAAATGCTACATTTAAATCAGCTTCTGAAACTGTGATATGTATATCATCAGCAAACAAGAGCAAAAATGCAAAATATGCATCTATAGAATGCTTGTGTTACACACTATTAAATAAGATTCTCCTAAGCTAATGGCTAATTATGAAATTGTCAAATTTCATATACCACTTCATGAAAGAATGCTTGAATCCATATAGAAATACCTTCAATAGACAACACAACAACAACAACAAAATCAATCCTTTATCTCACTCACTATGTGGGGTCGGTTACATGAATCATTTTTCTTCATTGTGTCATGTTAAGAGTTAAATTATCATTTAAAACTAATAAAAAAATATCTTCAATAGACACATTAATCATATTTTACCACAACTTTAAATTTTGATGTATATTGCAAGTGAATACTCTAGTCCAAATCACCATGGAAAAAAGCTATCATTACATCCAACAATTCCAACTTCAGCTCTTGCATAAATATCACTGCCAACAAAGTAAAAATAAAGTTTTGTGCTTAACAATATGTCAGAAAGCCTCCTTGAAGCCAACACTTTCTGCTTTATTATAGCCCTTTGCAAGTAATTGCGTTTTGTATTTGTTATTCTCTTCACCCAATATCATTTCTTTGTGTTTGAATAAGCATTTGAAACAAATAGTAATGTTCTCTTTAAGATGTTGAACCAAATTTCCAGTATCATCATTCTACAACATTTCCAACTCCTCTATCAAAGTAGTAGTCCATTGTCTTGATTTTTATCTACAAACAGCTTCCTCAAAATTTAGAAGGCTCATCTTCACCAAAATAGATTTTACAGCACTCAAAAGTGTTAGCAGCTATATAAGAATGGGAATCCTCATAACCAAATCTCAAAAGTGGTTTAATGTTCCTTATAGTCCTGTAAGAGGAAATAATTACTTTTTGATGTGAATAGCTCATATTCACCAAAAAAGATTTTGCAACACTTTTTTTAGTCACATGAGAAAAGCATCCACAATGTAGCTATCAAAACAAGATTTGATGTGTACTTCTATGTGTAGTCATAAGATAAAAGTATCTGTAATCAAGAATCCAATCTTCAATAGAAGACATACAATGATACAACATTATGTAGCTTTCAAAATTAGATTAGACGCATAATTCTGCTCCTTAGCAACCAATGTTGCTTCAAAGCTAAATTTGCTTTTTTGATCATCTTTTTCTTTGAATTTTTCTTGTAGTAATTTGAAATATTTTTAGCGTCTAGGCTTTTGTAGTTATGACATGGTCCTTTCTTTTTGTCCTTTGACTTAAATCTTACTCATTCTTCCTTGTTTTCTAGAAGCTTCTACTTATCAGCGTAAATAAGCCCTTAGATGGGATTTATCCTTGTATATTTTTTATCAACTCAATTTATAGAAAGGTGACTTCACCTTTGTCATGAAATAATGTCTTTTCCATACAATATAGTGGTAACAATGTTCACAAAAGAGGGGAGTAGGAGCATAGCAAGATCAAAGTTTGTCTTTCAATTCAATCTTAACATCCATAGCAAGAATATTCCTCTCACCAAATCTTCAAGCAAAGAAAAAACAATTAATCCCCTTCCTATCCTCTTTTTGGTCACTCAAACGAGAAGTTGCAACCAATAAACACTAAATATATTGGTCACATCTCATCCATATCTATTGTTGCCACACTCTCTATTCGTTCGATGAAAAATAAAAAAGAATTCACAAACCCAATTAGTCAAACCGTAACTCAGACAATCTGTTTTGCAAGCTATAGTCAATACATAAGTAGAAGGAATGGAATTATGATTTTCATAGGTAATTACTTAGTTATCCTTCATGTTTTGATATTATACCTACAATATCCACTGCTTGAACCTATATCATCCAACATCTGAACAAGATAGCCTTCAATAATTAAAGGGAACTATAAACTTGATATTTAATATAATATCATGTATTAAAGTTAATGATTCAATATTTGAACATGATAGTTCAATCAAGGATAATGTGATTCGTGTCGAATTACTCATTCAATAAGGTAAGGCAGAATGACTATTTTTATCTCCCATAGAGCTTGATCATGCTAGCATTCGTGTTGATTCACTAATCAATACAAATACAGCACATCCCATCACCACCACTCAAAATTCTACCATAATCATCATTAACAATCACTCTTAAAACTATCAAAATGAGTATGGTTGTTGGATTCATATTTACATTACAACTAACCTAGAGTGGTCTTAGGGCCTCCATCGATTCATTCATCCTCATAAGGAGCATGATTGTCCAATATAGATGTCAAAGATTGTATGGCATGGTTCTTCATGCTTTGATCAACCAAAGGACCACATTGTTCCTTATAAAGAGGCATTTAGGCCTTGCAACAATCAAAGAGACCAAATGACATATCCTTTAGTATATAATTTCCTACGATACTAAAGCAACCATCATTTAAACACCAATAAATACGCCCTGAACCGGTAAGGTGAAGGATTTCTCCTTTCATCTAGGGGAAATATTGTTGACTTTATTTCAGATCATATTGTACCTTAAAGGTCAGTTATTAACTCGAGTGCAACCTAGGGATACAACTAGGAGTATAACTTAGTCAAGTCAGCCCAGGCTTAACTCGATAAGCTCACGAGCCAAGCTCAAGCTAGTCTCAATTGAACTTGTTTGCTTATAAGCCAACTCATTTAATAAATGTTAATATAAAATATAATTATAATATATTAGAATTTAAGAGTTCAAGTATAAAGTTTTTAAAATATTTAAATTTTCTATATAACTTTCATATATCATGATTTAGTATTATTTATCATTTAATTTCTCATTTTTTTCATCATTTTATTATAATTAATGTTTCAATCAGAATTATTTTTCTCCTTTCATAATAAATGAGCTGCCTCACAAGACAACTCAAACTTTGCTAAACTTATTAACACCCCTAGCTACTGACATTTTGGTTCTATTTGTGCATGAAGCTAGCTTAGGAAAAAGATGCCCCTTTAAGAATATCGATTGACACAAGTAAGCTTTCCGCATGCAACAACATGTAGAAATACAAATTATAATATGAGATATTTGAATCAATAAACCTTTACACGCAAACGTCGCAAAGTTACTTAAATTTGATTTTTTTTAACTACATACCCTATAAAAATATTCAATTAGCTTAAAGATAGCAAAATTATATAACTTTAGCTATTGTTCGGGTAGCATGTAAGTATTAATCTATTCAAAAATATATCTAAAAATCATATAGATCATATCAATGTTTTTAATGTGCCAGCAGATAAAAAAATTGAAAAAGTAATGCTTCCCATATCCCTAAATTAGCTCATTTATAACATAGCTTGTGTAGCATATGAACCTCAATATAAGATGGTGGACCAAAATCATTTTCTTTTAATAATATAGAGATAATGTTGAACTTTATTGACATAGATGATGAAAAAACATATATATATATATATATATATATATATATATATATAGATCATTAGGGCTAAAGAACTGAGCGTTTGACAAAATACTTGAGACTCGGCTCGATATAAGCTCGTTCGTTATCGTTTAATTAAGTAATCAAAGAAGCTTGAACATTTTCTTAAATACTCGTTGTTTTAATAAACAAGCTTGAACAAATGTGTTCGACTCGTTTATGTTCATGAACAACATTGTCTGAAGCTCGTGAACATGCTCGATATGAATCTTGATAAGAAGCTCATTAAAATTAAAGCTCGATTCTTATTTAATGCGAAAATTTAATAAATCTAATATAAATATTTTATATATATTATAATTTATAATATAATAATAAGTTATTCTAGAGCAAGCTTTCTTCTAAGAAGAATTATAGCTTGTTTGTTTGCGAACAAGCTCATTTGGTAATTCAAAAACACTTACTAGATGTGTTGTGTACAAACTTATTTGATAGTTCAAAAACCTTTACTAGATATGTTTGCGAATAGGCTCATTTGGTAGCTCAAAAACACTCTATATGTTCGTGAATATGCTCGTTTGGTACGTAGTTCGAAACAATCGCTAAAAATATTCACAAACATGTTTGTTAGTAGGCTCGATAGAACTCATTTTTGAACAGTTCATTGTTTATAGTTT